AGCAGCCAGCCTGGCAATTTCCTCTTCCCCTGAGCCTTTTGGGCTTTGGACCTGCAGGGTTCAACCTCGCCTTTAAACTCAAAAATTTTCTACAGTTCCTTTCAGGTGTCTGCAGTGTCTGTATGCTCTTGTGAACTAATGCTGAAGGAGCCCAAAATGGATGTTGGGTTATGATAACATTGATGAATTACTGAGTCTTTAGCTAGTTTAGGCCATCTTGTTAATGGTTCAAATGATGTTCCTGCTTGCTTTGTCACAAATGTGGAATGATTCACTGAAGTCATCAGTGTGACTGAGAACAGAATGGCCAGAGATGGCCATGGGCAGCCTGAGGCTGTGTGCCAACTATAATTAAAGCCTTTGAATAAATGTATGTCACAGTTTACTCTTTATTTAGGTATTATAAAAAAAAATCCAAAACACAAACCAACCAAAGAAAAACAAAACAAAACCCCAATAACTGCTTCTTTTTTAAGCTACTAAATTACTAGATGGAGAGAATATTTTTTATCCGTAGTTGTGGTGACTGGGAAATGCTGTGGAATACCATCAGAGTTCATTTTAAGGACTTAATCTAAAATGCTAGCACAGGGCATTTTTACAATACTGTTGTTAAAGAGTGTAAAGAACTGTAGTGTCTGTGCTTCCAACCCATCTGATTAGCTCTTCTTCCTTTTTGCAGTCTTATTTTCATATGTAACTATTTAAAATACAAAAAACCTGCTCTAGAATAAATTTTCTACACAGAGACCTTAATTCTGTCTTCAGAAGGGACTGCAAAACAGCTTCAAGTTTTGGTTTGAAGAGGACAGTAATTACCATGAAAATGGGTGGATTGTGCAGACAGTTATCAGTCTGGTACATCATGGCAAACCACATTTCTGCCTTCTGGATGAGAGAATGACGTGTTAAGCTGGTACCTTCTGAGCAAGAGTTTGTAATATGCAGCATGAAATACAGCACAAATCATCCGGAAAATCCACAAACCAAAACAGAATCTAAGAAATGAAAAATGGTTAATACTGGGTCTTTCTTTCCTGCATTTGAGTCTTTGTTTTCCTTTCCAATAACTACAGCATGAAATTATGGTCACAGTACCAACCTTAACTCGATCTGTTTTCCTGGCTGTTTTTGTTCTGTTATAAATGTCATGGTAATTAATTTTTTTTTTTTCATAAACCAGAGGAGGTTTTTTTATCCCTTTAAAATGTAGTTGATTCTTACCTAAATGAAGCTGCTGGGAGAAAACATAGGTCATTCATTCAGTTGTGACCTATATGCAGTGACATGTACCTTCCTCTGTCCTTTGTTTCTAATGTAAGCAGTGCTGTCACCAGACTGTCCTTGTTCTCATCCTGTCATATGACAACTTAGATGAAATGGAGTTGACTGATACTAGATGTAGCAAGATGGAAGCTGTGTTGGTACACAAATTAAAAATCCCCTGAACTTATTGAAATTCCTAGTGGTGTCAGCCTTTAGAAAGTGTCTGCTTTGCTGTATTGTTCTTCAGCCTTGTGATCCTTTAGATCTCTTTTTAATACTGGCTTCTTAAATAAAGAAGACACCTAAAATTGTCCTCCATTTATACAACAACTCCCTATTGAGGCAACCTGGCTTTGTCTCCATTTCTGAACTTGCAGTATGGGAGCAAGAAGATTGTCAAAACCATGTTCATGGCAATGTTAGAAATACCTGGGTGGATGTGTTCCACTACAGTCATGCAACCATTTTGGAGCATGACTGGAGCATTTCCATCTGGAAATACAGATGTTTTGAAAGGGCTCCTGTAACTTCTGAAATACATTTAAAAATTATGATAACGCTAACAGGAAAAGATTTCAAAATGTATCTCGGAGATAGAATGTTCTGTTTGCATTTGTGTGGATAAAATCACAACTTTAGGGCACTCTGACACATCCCAGTGTGCTGTGCTTTAGTTCTCCCACTTACCTTGTTTATTTGCTGCATGAAATTCACAGAAGAACAATAAAATACCCTTGGCATGGAAGCCCCTGTATGAATACAGGCTCTGTAATTCGGAGAATTGCCATGGGTGATGGTGGTGCTTTTCCCTATATGGTTAGCTGGGATTCTTGATTCATCTTGTGCCTTCTTGCTCTGTTGGGTTTATGGAAGTTACATATCACTGAAGCCATATGTTATGATCCCAGGCAGAGCTGTAAACCATTTCCTTTTTACTGCCTCTGAGAGCAGATCAATCTATAGAGCAGCACTAGTGATGGGGAATTTTTTAAGGGTAATGGGAGAAAATAAGAAAAGAGAGCTTGCCTGAGACACTATACTATTCCATCTTCCAAAGAATTAAATCCCTTCCTATTTATAAATTTTTTATTTCTCACCAAGAAGAAAGAAGGTTTTCACCCAACTTTTGCAGCTGGGAAAAAAAAAAAAAAGTCAGATTAAGAATTTAAGGTTCATTTTTAAAAAAGAGAGGAAGGTTGTGATGTAGTCAGCAGTATGATACTAATGGATAGAGTGTTTGTTGGCAGAATCTGGAAGTTCAGTATAACCTTAGGGATCTAATCCATAAGTCTTTTTTAGGTAATTAGTTCTTTTACTTCACATTGCCAAATCTCAGCATTCAGAATTGTATGAGCTGGTAAAATATTGCAAGAGGCTAAGGGCACTTGAGATGTAATTTCCCTTAAAAAAAGTCTTTTAACTTTGAGTCAAAACATTTTCAAAATTTACTTTACAACCAGAAGGCCTACAAGCATCTATTTTATATTTTAGAGGAAAAGCATGTTTTTAAATAACAACCTGACTCCAGCAGGTGAGACTTCAAAATTCAGCAGCACTAATCTTGCGTGGCTTGCACAAATACCTGCAGGTTTACAACATGAGAGACTTCTTATGTGAGTAAGAATTGGCAAGCCCATCCAGGAAGGTTTTCAGTTTCGTCGCTTTGCATGCAGGAGTAGCTCCTTCAGTGCCCTATGGATATAGGCTTTACACTGGTTTTTTCTTTGACAGGGTATAAAGGTCTGGCATATGGCCATGTGCATGGCTAAATTGAATGGTGCTGTTCTGTGCCAGCATGGCCTCAACAAAAGTGGAGCTATTTTAGTTTGTTAACTGAAGAAAAGTTGGACAAGGAGAAGGGGTGGGAGAGCACTGTACAAAAGTACAGGAGACTCGTACAAACCTCATTCCTTTTGCTTTGGCCTTTACGTGTTTTATTAATGGCCACTACAGTTGCCTCTGAATTATTCCCCTGTAGATAGAATACATCTTTTCCCTCCAGTGAAGCAAAGCACTTCAGCTAAACGTTTTGCAACATCTGCCATTGCCCTTGTCAAACTTTACAGCATTTATTTCTAAACAATCTAGGATGAGCTGGGTAAACTAGCTCTGCCCTGTTCTCTGCCCCTAAAGTACAAAGCTTTAGCTCTAGTATACATCTGGAATTCTGACATTGGTAGTAGTAGGAAGGCTGAAATGAGGATTAAATAGGTCTGAAACATTTCTTGCACTCTTAAACGTCTGTATAGGAGATGCCACTTTTTCAGGTTCCTCTGGTAAGATTGATACAAATTAACTGATAGTTATGGGGACACTGGAAGGATGTCTTAAAATTTTCAGGGAACCTAAAGCTGGGATGAAAAGATGGATGCAACTTTGTGCAAAGGTGCCTATTCTGATAATTAAAGACAATTCAGTTGTACCTTTCTTCTTGGTGTATAGCTGGTCTCCCTGGCTCTGACTATGCCTGTTTTCCAGGGATAGTCTCTAATTTGATGCCAGCATCTTTCAGTCCCTAATTACCATTGTTCAGCCACCAGCTGTTACAGTGTCGGATTTACTTATTCCTTTGGTTTGCTGCAGGAACCTCGTAGGAAAAGGGAGAACACCATTGCCTCTTGGCTGGTAACTGCAAGCAGTGCTGGATTTTCAGCACTTGGGGCCTCAGTCCCTCCCAGATCTGGTCAACAACTTCCATGGAAGGGCAGGGCTCTGGTTCAGGGCTGGCTGAGCATCTCCTCTTGCCCTGTTGTGGCTCCAGGGGGAAAAAATGCTTCAGGTTTAGTTAAGGTTGGTTTATACCTACCAACCTACATCTCTTTCTTTCAAGACTTGATGTCTTAAAATATTTAATACATCACTTCCTGCAATTTTATGGAAAAAGCAGAAAGAAGGATCAGATCCTAGAATAAGAAGTATGGGAAGGCTTTCCTTCTTCCCAGGTATTTTATAGAGGTTCACAGCCTTGTTCAAATAGTGAATGTTAAGAACTAGGTACTTCCAGTTTACTAGGAAGAGATGGACGTGAGAACCGTGTTGAACCATGCTGTTTAGTCCCAATTTTTGTTGCAGAATGTGGTGGATGCAAGGCATAGCACACCTGGCATTCATTTTGGTAATGAGTGATTTATCCAGGCAATCTGCTAATGAATGTAGGACAGGTTTGTGGGCAGGTGAATGGCTTTAAAAAATGAGGCCAGTTGCACTTTTTAGCTCCAAGCCTCACCGCACCTGTGTAAGGTGCAAAAGGGAGGAGACGGTAATAGAAGATCATTATTCTCTGGTGTTGGTGCATTAGGGATGCCATCAGTCTCGAAGCGAAGTGCAAAAAGTCAGCAAGGGAGGTTTCCTTTCTTGTAGAGCGCCCTGTAATTCCAGAGGCAGCTGCGCTCTCCGGGCAGGCGCTGTGGGAAGGGCTCTGTGCCGCCGGAGCCGGCAGGTTACAGCTCTGAGAGACGCTGGGAACAGGCGGCTTCCCTCTTTGTCTCTGTAATCCATCAGGAGAGATCCGGGGGGGGGCGGGCCGGGAAGCGGGGGAACCCCCGGGGCTCCGGGCGCGCAGTCCCCGGCAGCCGGAGGGACCGCGCGGCGGCGCCGGGCACGGCCGGGGCTGCTCGGGCACGGCCGGGGCTGCTCCGCCGCTCTCCCGCTGCCCGGCCCTGCCCCTCTCCCCGCTCCCCGGCGCGCCGGGCGTGGCCCGCTCCGGCTGCGGCTGCCCGTCAGTGCCGCCCCCCGCACGGAGCCTCCCGGCGCCGGGCAGCGGCGGCACAGCCATGTGAGAGCGGCGCGGACGCGTCCCCTGCCGGAGCCGCGGCGGTGCCGGTCCTGCCGGCGGAGCGGGGCTCTTCCCTGGATGGGCTCAGTCCGTAGGGAGGCTGCGGAGGGGCTCTGGGGCGCCGAGGGTGCCGGTCCGGGTACAAAAGGAGCGAGCTTCGCCGGGGGAGGAGGCTGCGGAGGCTGTCAGAGCGGCAGGCTGGGTCCGCGGAGGGGCTGCGGGCAGCCGGAGGTGTTCCGTGCTGGGCACAGCGGGACCTGCACCTCGCATAAATGCCTGCGGAACTCAAACAGGTTAGTGCGAAACTTGTGTCCTTCCCCTCGGGCTCTGCGGCCGCGTGTGCGGGTCCTGGTGGCGTGGAGAAAGCTGTCAGCGCTGGAAGGGGTTGTTTACTTGTGTTTTCGTTTTTAGCTGAGAACTAAGAGCAAAAGCTGAGCTGCTCTTTCTAGCAGAGCGTTCGAGAGAGAATCTGCTTTTGTCTCTGTTGTGTTAACTGGTGAAACACCCAAAAAAGCAAGCCATTGTGTTCTTTGACCTTCTCGTCCTGCTCAATAAATCCAGGGAGCTCTTTGACATGAACAGCTAGAAATAGTGCTTTTAAAAGAGAAAGCTTTGCTATTGTGCTTTTGTTCAGTGTTTGCTTTTCCCATACTGTGTTCCCTAGCTTTCTCTTTGATTTTGTTGCTGGACATACCAGAGAAATAACGGTGGTTTTTCACTCTAAATGTTATCTTAAACATAAAGTTCTTCTTGGCTGTCGTCTTAGTAGTTATAATGGACTTACAGCTTAGTGCAAAAATATTTCAAATATTATTCTTTACTTTCAAGTGTCATTGGGTATTCCAGGGCAAAGCTGTTGCAGACTAGATTTAAATGAATAGAGATCATATAGATTCCTATAATTCATAGGTGCTTTTCGTGGGTAACCTCCTTTTCCTACCTTGTATGCCTCAGGAAACCTGATAAATTCAGGTGGTGGCAGGGTAGAGCTGCTTCTCCAACTAGGATGAGGTTGTGCCTTTTTCTTAATCCTCTTTTTTCTCCTCTGCCTTTGTAATTTAAAACAGAGTACTGTAGAATAAGAGAATGCCACAGTAATGCATCACTGATAATACATCCCTGAATTTGTTTGGGCTCATTGCACTGGGGTTGTTAGAGTTTCTCTGGCTTGGTTTAATACCCTGTGTTTTACCCACCCATCTCAGTAACAGAAGGCTGAATCATTTCATGATGCAAATAGGATGCTGATTCCCTCGAGGGGAAAGTAGCCCTTTCAGCTGGGTCCTCCAGTGAGCATTTCTTTGTCTGTAGGATTCCCTGGAATCACGGTCCTGCCTGCTCGAGGTGGCTGAATGCTGGTTTGTTTGGCTACTTGTTTGTGTGTCATGCTTCCTGTGGGCGTCTTTGGAAGGGTTTGATTTGTCTGTGGTGCTGTTCATGTTGTCTGACCCACAGCTACTGTACCTGTCAAATTATGTGCACTGGATTGTTGAGTTTTAGATAGATTGATCTAGTTAGCAGCTCCAAGAGATTTTGGTTTTGTCTGTGTTTTTGTAATACATAAAGGAAAAAGCTGGAGGTAAGGAGCAGAATGCTAGCAGCAAAAAAAAAGGTGTATTTCATGTCTTTTGACCCGTGCAGTACAGCTGTGTTCGTGTCTTCTGGGTTTTCAGTGTTGATAGGCGGAAAAGCTTGAGTGAGACTGGAAGGTTGTAGTTAATCACCTTAGGTCATGCTTTTCAGTTAGCTTGTAAATTCTTCTTCCATATCAAAACAAAAAAAGTCACGGTTTTAATTTTCACACTGTCTGTCATAGCTGAGGATTAGACAGAGATGTGGTATTTTATCTCTTCTGTTGGAGTAATGGTTCTGGATTCATTCTGAGGTCTCTTCACAGAATTAACTGTTCAATCTGGTAGCACAGCAGTTTATTAGAGAATGCTTTGCTTAATGAAAGGTGGTAGTTTTAAGCCATGAGTTGTCAGAAAAATCTACTGTGCAGTTACAGGGCCTCTAGAAAGTAATTCTTCAGCTGTAATGATCACAATTAAGTAAAACTAAACCAAATGAATAAATGACTTTGAGGTGGATGGCAAGTCTATACAATCCATCCATATAAAGATAGGAGAGATACTACAATGGACTTCTGCCACATTAAGTGAAGGCCTGTTGTATTTAGATAAGGACAGCTGTGAAATAGTAATTAAAAAGAATTAAGAACAACTTCTAATCATGCTTTTGCTGGGAATAGTTTCCTGAAGTTCTGGGCCACAAAAGCAGCATTGTACCTGAGAGCACTGGTAGAGGAACCAAATGCTGAAAACCAGAAATGGGGCCATAATGTTGGGGGTGGGTGTTAACCTTCTCGAGTCTTCCCTTGGCCATTCCCCTTCCTGCTCATGAGGGAGAAAGGCTGTTGAAGTTTGTGCTGAGTATCTGCAGTGGCCTTGAAAGTAAAGAGTTTATGAAACTGAGAAGGATCTTGAAGTCTGGAACTCTTAAAATATATGTTCATGCAGTATCACATACAGCTTTGATCTGGATCTGAAACCTAAAGTGCTGGCTTGCCTCAGGGCCATGAATTGTGAAGGGGAAAGGAGTCACTTAAAGTGACTTTTGCCAAAAGCTCTTCAGTTCTCTGTTACTCTTGCTTAAGAAAATACTTTATTAGCATTCTGGATTCAGGCACTGACCTCAGTAAAGCTGGCCTTCCTCAGCACTTTGTTCCTGAAGCATTTCACTAGAGGATGATACTGATGTGAGGGAGTATGAAATTGTAGATCTGGCAAGATGAAAAAGCAGTTAATGCATTAGTGACATCCCTGCTGTGAGTCCGTACCAGTGATGGAAAGCTTGTGGAAGAAATGTTCATGGAGGTGCAGCATAAACAGAATCATCATCAAGCAATTGGTCAAGTCATATTAGAAAAACCTAATAAGAAGGGAGTGTGAGGTTTGGCATGGATATCTGTAGGGATTCACCCATGGGTTCTCACATATGACAGGCCTGAAACAGGTCTCATATGCTCTACTGCCTTGGAGTGAAGAGGTGTAGCAGTCTGCAATATTGAGTCCTCCTTGCTCCCCCAAGCATTCCCTTTGGCAGCAGGTGTGACCTCTGTGGCAGAGCTGGGCAAAGGGAGTGTGGTTTGGGACTCTCTGGGGTGTTGAACCATGTACAGGAGCAACTGAATGGCTCTGCCACAGGGGCAGTAATTCTCTAGAGGATGGTGGCTTTTTGAACTCTTTGGGCAGTTAATGCCCAATTCAGGTGTGGAACATCACCTCAGATGCCAGTGTGCCTTGACCTCTCTACACACACACACACAGCTGAGTCCTTCAGCATAACCAGGAAGCCTTGGAGCGGCAGGAGGACACCTGTGTAAGATGTGGAAATGGAAGTGTTCTGTTTCTGAAAATGCCTCAGTAGGAACTGTGTTTCTTTAACAGTGCTGTTGGAGGTGTGAGGCCTATAATGTCCATTTTGTGTGAGTGCACAGCTTTGTAACAGCATGGATGTAACAAGCAAAGCATTCCAGCAATTGCACTTCCCAAGGCTGTGCTACTTAACCACCTGTCCCCAAGGTCTGGAGCTGTTGTACATGGAGCATCAGGCTCGCTGCAATTTTTGCTTAAGTTACATTGCAGTTACTAAAAATAAAAACATAAAAATATGTTTTGGTGGTTTTGGTTGGTGTAGTGTGGTTTTGTTTTTTTTTTTTTTTTTAACAAATTCTAAAAACAAACAGATGTGTGCACTCAAGGTCTTTCTAAATGTAGAAATACTGATTAAGGAAGATAAAACGGAGAAAAAAGCATGTTAAATAATCACATTTGAAACTGGATGGACTGGATGTTTATAACAAGGCTGCTCACAAACGTTGAATTGCAAACACTTTTTTCCCAGGAGTTCATTCCTGCCACTAAATTAAGGTTTGATTCAGTAGGAGTAGGATTAAGGCCACTGGTGAAGTTCTGTCCTTGCATTTGAGTGTTAAAATAACAAGGCATTTCACTGAATATAAGGATTTTAGCATATTCTTAGCATGTCTTTACCTGTTCCTGCCTCTGTTCCTCAGTTGCTCTAAATTATTTCATCTGTGCTACCAAAATTCTGTAGCTGTAATGCAGAGAAACTTCTAAAAAGGTCCTGCTTCAGACTGCACCACTGCCTCTTGTCCTTTGTGGAAGTATTTGTCGATATTGCGGTGTGAGATGGGAGGTTCAGCCATAGGGTTCAGAAAATCCTGTTCTTTGCTGCTGCTGGCTGTTGGGTTTGCCAAAATGTGCCACAAGGTAATGCACTCATGTTTGGGAACCGTTCTGGGGACAGAACCAGTGAACTGATGCAGCTGAAAAACTGAAGCAAACCTTAAAGCTCCATGAAAAGAGGAACGGCCTCCTGAACCAGGCTGTTTGTGGCCCTTGGAAGGGTTGTACCTTCCTCCTGGGCCTGAAACAGGGAGGAGAAGTGGCTCTGTATGAAGTTCTTGGAAGAAAGAAAAGGGCAGGACATGACCAGGAGCATGGCTCTGCTGGTGAAACAAGATGACAGTGCAGTACAAAACCTCAGTGCCTTGGCCTGGGAGCTCTGCATATATTTGGTTTGCTCAGATCTTCCCAAGGACAGACCAGAGCAAAAACAAGACTGTATTTTTCAGGTGTTTTTAAAACCACTGTTGTTTCAGTAGCACGTGAGCAGTGAAACACAGGATTTTGCTAGCAGGTTTTCTTTGGTTTCGTTTTTCCAGTGGAGGTTTGAAGAGTAAATAGAGTCCCTGAAATAAATCCTGAGACTAGAGAGAGTGTTTCTCTCTCATATTTCAAATTCTTGGATAAAAGGGAAGCTGAAATTCAAACATTGATAGTTTTAAATGTCACTATGTCCTTTGTGTCTTCTGTCTCTCATTAAGTTGCAGCCAGGCTTTGGGACCTTGTTTTAATTTGCCTTTATACCTAAGAATGAGCAACTCTGACTATACCTGAGAGAAGCCAGATGAGCAACACTTGCTTTCTTAGGGCAGCATAATCTTTTGTGTCTAAGATTCTGCCACCCACCAGTCAGTGAACAGAATCCTTTCTGTTGCATTAAGGGGTGAAAACTCCATGAGCTCGGTGCTCCCTCTACACTGCAGTAATGTGAAAATCCATGACTTCCAGTGGTGTTCTCTGCCTCTTTGATGAGTCAGGCCCACACCTGCTTACAGCAGGAGATTGACATACCAGAGTTTTCCCTTTTATCCAATCCTACACATATGTCCTTAGCATCACAACTCCTCAGTGTTCAAAAAAGA